GAGCTCCGCCATGCTGCAGAGGGCATTTAGGGCTACAGAAATTACGCTCCTAAATCCACTTATGGTCAACTCGAAGAATTCCGGTAAACCGTTTTATGCAATTCTACACAGGATAGACGTAGGGGTGGTGATTGATTTGGAGCCAGCCCGGCCCGAGGACCCGGCCCTCTCCATAGTAGGGGCCGTGCAGTCCCAGAAGCTTGCTGTAAGAGCCATTACCGAACTGCAATCTCTCCCTAGTGGTGATTACAGGGTCTTGTGCGATGCAGTTGTGGAGCAAGTGAGGAAGTTGACCGGGTATGACAGGGTCATGGTCTACAGGTTCCATGAGGACGAACACGGTGAAGTTGTGGCCGAGAGCAGAAGGCCCGATCTCGAGCCCTACATCGGGTTGCACTACCCCTCAACTGACATTCCCCAGGCCTCTAGGTTCCTTTTCAGACAGAACCGAGTCAGGATGATCGTGAACTGCAATGCAGAGCCTGTTAAGGTAATTCAGGACGAGGCACTGATGCAACCTTTGTGCCTGGTGGGCTCCACCCTCCGGGCCCCACACGGCTGCCATGCTCAGTACATGGCAAACATGGGGTCGATTGCTTCATTGACTCTGGCAGTCCTTGTCAACGGAAAAGATGAAGAGAATGTGGTTAGGGGTCTAAACTCCATGAAGCTGTGGGGTCTGGTCGTTGGCCACCACACATCCGTCAAGTACGTGCCTTTCCCACTACGTTACGCGTGTGAGTTCATAATGCAGGCCTTTGGGCTCCAGCTCAACATGGAGTTACAGCTAGCGTCACAATTGTCCGAAAAGCGTGTATTAAGGACACAAACCTTGTTATGCGACATGCTGCTTCGTGATTCGCCGACTGGGCTTGTTACGCAGAGCCCCAGCATCATGGACCTCGTTAAATGCGACGGGGCTGCTTTATACCACCAGGGGAGATATTATCCTCTGGGGGTCACCCCCACCGAAACACAGATAAATGACATCATTCAATGGCTGTTGGAGTTTCATGGGGACTCGACTGGTTTGAGCACGGATAGTTTGTGTGACGCTGGTTACCCGGGAGCAGAAATTCTGGGAGACGCCGTTTGCGGGATGGCCGTTGCCTATTTCACGAAAAGGGATTATCTGTTTTGGTTCAAATCGCACACGGAGAAAGAGATCAAGTGGGGTGGGGCCAAGCATCATCCTAGGGACAAAGACGACGGCTCGAACATGCACCCGCGCGTGTCGTTCGAGGCCTTTCTGGAGGTTGTCAAGAGACGGAGTTCCCCTTGGGAGAGTGCCGAGATTGACGCTATTCGTTCGCTGCAACTGATTTTAAGGGACTCTTTTGTAGATGGCGATGGCAGGAACTCGGAAGTGGTTGTGAGGGCCGCTGGAAGTGGGGAGGTGGATGGATTTGTGATGGATGAGCTGAGTTCCTTGGCTAGGGAGATGATTAGGTTGATAGAGACTGCAACAGCTCCCATATTTGCCTTGAGTGTTGATGGCCTTGTGAATGGATGGAACCCGAAAGTCGCTGAGTTGACCGGGCTTTCCATTGAGGAGGCCACAGGGAGGTCATTTGTTCGTGATGTTGTCCACAAGGAGTCGGGAGAGGTTGCTGCCGAGCTTCTGGCTGGTGCTCTGAGAGGTAGTTTGGTTCGATCAAGTTCTTTGGTTGCTTACATAAACAATCCCTTGGTTTTACCCCTAAGGATTACTAGACCTCTATTTAAATTGTATCGTCAAGAAGGGGGTGTTTTTAGTTTTTGAAAGATGATGGAAGTGTTATGTAATTAGGCTAGACCTCATGGGTGGTATTGTAATTATCCATAAATTTACGACGCTGATCAAGGATTATTCACATTTGACTGGATATACTATTGAGATGTGAGAAAGTCCTTTAATAAACTAAGCCTTCTCTTACCCTTTGTTAGCTTTTTCTTCGTGAATGATCTTATCGCATGACTAATGCAGGTGAGGAACGAAAGAATGTGGAATTGAGGTTGAGGACATTTGGCTCTGAGGCCAGCAAGAATGCAGTGTTCATTATGGTCAATGCTTGCTTGAGCAAGGACTACACAGAAAAAGTGGTGGGTGTCTGCTTTGTGGGTCAGGATGTCACCAGCCAGAAAGTGGTCATGGACAAGTTCATCAACATTCAAGGTGATTACAAGGCAATCGTACACAATCCTAGCCCTTTGATTCCTCCGATATTTGTTTCAGATGAGAACACTTGCTGCTATGAATGGAATGCTGCCATGGAGAAGCTCACTGGATGGCGACGGGAGGAAATAATTGGGAAGATGCTAATTGGGGAGATTTTTGGGAACTGTTGTAGGCTCAAGCGCTTAGATGCAATGACGAAATTAATGATGGTCTTGCACAATGCAATAGGAGGCCAGGATACCGAGAAGTTTCCGTTTTCTTTTCTTGATCGAAATGGGAAATACGTGCAAGTTTTACTGACTGCAAATAAGAGGGTGAATGCGGATGGCCAGATTGTTGGGGCTTTCTGTTTTTTGCAGACCACTGGTCCTGAACTACCGCAAGCTGCTGGGGTCGAGAGTACAACGGAAAATTGTGTTTCAAAGATGCAAGAGCTGGCATATATTGTTCAGGAGGTAAAGAATCCAATGAGTGGTATACGTTTCACTAATTCGGTGTTAGAAGCCATGGATTTGATTGAGGATCAAAGACAACTTCTCGAGACGACTGTTGCTTGTGAGAAGCAGGTGTTGAGGATTTTGAAGGATGTTGATCTGGAAAAAATTGAGCATGGGTATGGTTTTTTAATGTCTAAGTATTTTAATACTTTACGTCGATAGTGGAACTTTTTCTCGTGAAGTCTGGTCGAAGAAATCGTAGTTGTGATTTTTGACTGGACACTCCAACAAACTCAGTTTTCTTGATTGACAAGAATGGTTGTTTGTTGATTTTGAGATGATAAACCCAAATGCACTTCTATTTTGTGAGTTTTGTAGCATATTAGACATTCACTTCTTTGCATTGCTGTCACAGATGTTGGGCATATTTTTTGGGTTAGTTCTAAATATTCACCTCGGGGCCTAGTGTGACTACAAAAAAGACTATATGTCTTCCAATATAAGACATGTTCATTTATTTGTTGACATATTACAATTTACAAAAAGAATTTATAATAGGGTAGGGTGGATATTTTTCAATTTGAAATACAAATTATTATTATTATCATAATCATCATCATTATTGTTGTTGTTGTTGTTACAACAATAATAATAATAATAATTTGGAAGTTTGCATAATTTTTGCCATATTTAAATTCGTGTTACTCATCTCCTTGTCGGAGGTTCAACTAACTTTAGCCCACGTTTTCTGTGTTAGTTCGTTGGAGTTTGAGAAAGCAGAATTTTTGCTAGGGAGTGTGATAGATGCTGTTGTTAGCCAAATAATGCTATTGCTTAGAGAAAGAGGCCTGCAATTGATGCATGATATACCAGATGAAGTCAAGACATTAATGGTCTATGGCGATCAAGTTAGAATTCAGCAGGTCTTGGTGGATTTCTTATTAAGCATGGTTCGTTATGCACCGTCCCCAGATGGTTGGGTAGAATTGCAGCTGAGGCCAAGCTTGAAGCAAGTCTCTGAAGGACTAACTATTGTTCACATCGAGCTCAGGTAAACCAACTTTCACAATGCTTTTTATCATATTGATCCATATTGGGGTATTTCTCTTCAGGTTCATTATTCATATATTGTTGGTGTCCAGTGTGTCAACTGTTTTGTGTAGTTCCCTTTTACTGTCTGTATATTTTGATATGATGAAAATGAAAGAAAAGGAAATGGTAAAAAATATCTGATAGGGAAAGAAACAATTCGATTTTTGAACTATTGCACTCTCTTTCCAGATTTTGTATGATACCCTTCTTTCTAGTAGTGATGGTTTGTTAAAAAGAATTGCAAACCTCAAATGGAGTGATTAAAACACGTTTGCAACCCCAATATCAATGTGTGAATATTCCTCAATATGCTACATCAGTTTTTACTTGAATGGTATTGTTATGTTGTCTTCTTTTTTATTCTTTCTCGACCTTGAGAAGCCTGTGAATATTTAATACCTAATGTCTTTTTCTGTGTAATGCTCCAAATTACTCATCATATATGCACT